ACTGCCCGAGGGCCCGGGGTCAGTAGGGGACCCCATGAGATGCCCCTGGTACCTTTTTCATAGGCTTTTTTGAGTTTGGGCAAGGACACAGGGGCCCCGTGAGTTGTCAGTCCGCCCCTGGTTGAGTCATTTGGCCAGTTTAGGTCCTTATCGTGTCCCTGGCTGGAAGGAAATCCTGGGACTTTGAGTTGCAAAGCGTCTAAAAGGCTGCTGCCCAACCCGGACTTGAACAGGCCCCCACGCAGGCTCTCACCCGGCCCCCCCCCACGCAGGCTCTCACCCGGCCCCCTACGCAGGCTCTATCCCGGCCCCCTACGCAGGCTCTCACCCGGCCCCCTACGCAGGCTCTCACCCGGCCCCCTACGCAGGCTCTCACCCGGCCCCCTACGCAGGCTCTCACCCGGCCCCCTACGCAGGCTCTCACCCGGGCCCCCACGCAGGCTCTCACCCGGGCCCCCACGCAGGCTCTCACCCGGGCCCCCCACGCAGGCTCTCACCCGGGGCCCCCACGCAGGCTCTCACCCGGGCCCCCTACGCAGGCTCTCACCCGGGCCCCCTACGCAGGCTCTCACCCGGGCCCCCACGCAGGCTCTCACCCGGGCCCCCACGCAGGCTCTCACCCGGGCCCCCCACGCAGGCTCCCACCCGGGCCCCCACGCAGGCTCTCCCCCGGCCCCCCACTCAGGCTCCCACCCGGCCCCCACTCAGGCTCTCACCTGGCACCACGGCCACCGTGTCCGATCCGTCTGCCGACTGAGCATTGCTCTCATCAAACTCGCTCTTGAAGATGCAGAGGAGGCAGGAGATGCGATAATCCAGACGGACGTTCAGAATGAACTAGAAGAGAGGTGAAGAGAAGATGTGAAGTAGAGGGACCAACACTGGAGCGCTCAGGCTGCCCACACCGGGATTCTGGGATTTAGCCCAATCACAAAGCCAAAGAAATTGAGGAGACCATCAAGTGTCAATCTATGAGGTGCGACAACTACAAGTCCAACGGAAGTGTCACAGTAACGTCCAATAGTAATGGAATCTTTGGTTTTCTAATCTAACAGCCCCAAACGCCTTCATCTCACTACATGGGATGAAAGTTTCTGCACTTTTGCAGCACAGAGCACAACTTATAGGAATAAATGGAAAGTACAATGTGAGGAGCTCATCTCTCTGCTCTCACCTCCTGTCAGCGTGATCTGTCAGCACACAGCTGCTTGTGCTGCTCCTTACTATCCAATCTGAACCCTTTAGTGTACTATTGAGTGTCTATATAATTGTATTTCCCTTCATTAGGCTCAGTTCACACTAGCTTTGTTAGCAGGCATTTGGGAAGTGTTTTTAATGCTCCTCAAACACCTACACAAGGCAGCCCACAGCGCTGTTCACACTGAAGCGTTAGCGTCGCAGCAAAATTGATGCCTCATGTGGAGTCAGGAGGAGTTGAAGCCTCCCATTCAAGTCTATGGTGCCGCTCCTCAAACGCCTGGCGGGTGTATGTGACGCGGTTGCGAGGCGTTTGCGGAGCATTAATGCCATTTAACGTCATTACAGGCGTTTGTGATGCGATTTTAACGCTTGGCGAAGCCTATGAGCTCGTTCACACTTGACTTTATTTCTAACTCTTGCCAAACGTCTCTATAGCATTTGACAGACATTAGACAGGCGTTTGGGAAGCAGCTTTTAACGCTCCACAATTGCCCTATGCGCGGCTTTGAGGCGTATGATAGGCGATAAATCCGCCCCACAAACGCCTAAAATGAAGTTTAATGGTATTAACGCTCTGAAAACGCCTGCCAGGCATTTGAGGAGCGGCACCATAGACATGAATGGGAGGCTTCAACTCTTCCTGACTTGACATGAGGCGTCAGTTTTGCCGCGACGCTAACGCTCCCGTGTGAACAGCGCTGTGTGCTGCCTTGTGTAGAATTTTCATAGGTGTTGGAGACGCTTTGAAAACAACTGCTGACAAAGCTAGTGTGAACGGAGCCTAAAAAAAACACGCATAGGGCGTTTGAGGAGCGTTAAAAACGCCTGTCAAACGCTATAGGGGCGTTTAGCGAGTTAGAAATGAGCCGAGTGAACGAACCCTTCAGCTCGGAGTCGGCACAAAAGAACGACCAGATTATGAAGACGTAAAGAGAAGCGATATCTGGGGACACTTACCTGCAGAATCTCAATGATCTTCAGCTTGGTGTCCATGACCAAGATGTCTTCTTTCTCCGGCTCTCTCTGAGGCTTAATGGCTCCTTCTGGGGCTGCCATGGGGGTCAGCGGAAGGAACCCCCCGCCACGTAGTACAACCTGAGTCATAAGTTCTCCGACTCCATGAATGGAGCGCATTACGTTACTGCCACCTACTACCAGAAACACAAATTATTCCGAGGATCGCGGGAAGGTTCCGCACACCATCTCCGAGTCCTCTATATGCAGATCTATAGCTTTCCCAATATTTCCAATTGGCTATTCAGAACAACACTCCGCATTTCTCTGAACGCAGTTTTATGTATTTATTATTTATATATTTCAGGTACTTATATAGCGCCGTCAGTGTACACAGCGCTTCACCTACAGAGAGGAACAGAAGGATTGAACCCCCTGCGATTCTGCAAGTTCTCCCACTTCTCCATCATGGAGGGTCTGACATTCACATTGCAGGGGATTCCCACTCTGAGGACAGAATTCAGGAGATCACATTGCAGGGGATTCCCACTCTGAGGACAGAATTCAGGAGATCACATTGTATGATTTGTAAAGAATGTATTTGTCTCGCACGGCTGAACAGAAGTATTTGAACATCTAAGAAGCAGCAAGAATTCGGTCTCTCAAAGACCTGTTACTGCGCCTTTATAAAGCCCCCCTCTACTACTCCACTCATTCATCTCACTTAGTAGCCCCTGTCTGAGCTCTTTAAAGACACCTGTCCACCCCACAGTCAGTCAGACACCAACTACTACCATGGGCAAGACCAAAGAGCTGTCCAAAGACACCAGAGACAAAATTGTGGACCTCCACTAGGCTGGAAAGGGCTACGGGGCAATTGCCAAGCAGCTTGGTGAAAATAGATCAACTGTTGGAGAAATTGTTAGAGAATGGAAGAGGCTAAAGACGACTGTCAGTCTCCCTCGGACTGGGGCTCCATGCAAGATGTCACCTCGTGGGGGATCACTGATGAGAAGAAAGGTGAGGAATCAGCCCAGAACTACAAGGGAGGAGCTGGTCAATGACATGGAGAGAGCTGGGACCACAGTTTCACAGGTCACTGTCGGTAGAACACTACGCTGTCATGGTTTCCAATCATGCATTGCACGGAAGGTTCCCCTGCTCCAGTCATCACATGTCCAGGCCCGTCTGAAGGTTCCCCTGCTCCAGTCATCACATGTCCAGGCCCGTTTGAAGGTTCCCCTGCTCCAGTCATCACATGTCCAGGCCCATCTGAAGGTTCCCCTGCTCAAGTCATCACATGTCCAGGCCCGCCTGAAGGTTCCCCTGCTCAAGTCATCACATGTCCAGGCCCGCCTGAAGGTTCCCCTGCTCCAGTCATCACATGTCCAGGCCCGCCTGAAGGTTCCCCTGCTCCAGTCATCACATGTCCAGGCCCGTCTGAAGGTTCCCCTGCTCCAGTCATCACATGTCCAGGCCCCCGTCTGAAGGTTCCCTGCTCAAGTCATCACATGTCCAGGCCCGTCTGAAGGTTCCCCTGCTCAAGTCATCACATGTCCAGGCCCGTCTGAAGGTTCCCCTGCTCAAGTCATCACATGTCCAGGCCCGTCTGAAGGTTCCCCTGCTCCAGTCATCACATGTCCAGGCCCGTCTGAAGGTTCCCCTGCTCCAGTCATCACATGTCCAGGCCCGTCTGAAGGTTCCCCTGCTCCAGTCATCACATGTCCAGGCCCGTCTGAAGGTTGCCAATGACCATCTGGATGATGCAGAGGAGGTATGGGAGAAGGTCATGTGGTCAGAGGAGGACAAAGGAGAACATTTTGGTCTAAACTTCACTCGTCGTGTTTGGAGGAAAAAGAAGGATGAGTTGCATCCCAAGAACACCATCCCTACTGTGAAGCATGGGGGTGGTAACATCATGCTTTGGGGGTGCTTTTCTGCGAAGGGGACAGGACGACTGCACTGTATTAAGGAGAGGATGAATGGGGCCATTTATTGTGAGATTTTCAGCAACAACCTCCTTCCCTCAGTCAGAGCATTGAAGACGGGTCGTGGCTGGGTCCTCCAACATGACAACGACCCGAAGCACACAGCCAGGAGAACCAAGGAGTGGCTCCGTAAGAAGCATATCGAGGTTCTGGAGTGGCCTAGCCAGTCTCCACACCTAAATCCAATAGAACATCTTTGGAGGGAGCTGAAACTCCATGTTGCTCAGCGACAGCCCCGAAACCTGACAGATCTAGAGGAGATCGGTGTGGAGGAGTCGGCCAAAATCCCTGTTGCAGTGCAAACCTGGCCAAGGACTACAGGAAACGTCTGACCTCTGTAATTGCAGACAAAGGCTTCTGTACCAAATATTAACACGGATCTTCTCAGGGGTTCAAATACTTCTGTTCAGCCGTGCGAGACAAATACATTCTTTACAAATCATACAATGTGATCTCCTGAATTCTGTCCTCAGAGTGGGAATCCCCTGCAATGTGAATGTCAGACCCTCCATGATGGAGAAGTGGGAGAACTTGCAGAATCGCAGGGGGTTCAAATACTTCTGTTCCTCACTGTATATATTGTACATTCACATCAGTCCCCGCCCCCGAGGAGTGTACACTCTAAGGTCTCTAACATTCATACATACACATACTAGGGAAAAATTACACAGGATTTAACCTACCAGCATGTCTTTGGAATGTGGGAGGAAACCAGAGTACCCGGAGGAAACCCACGCAGACACAGGGAGAACATGCAAACTCCAGGCAGGTAGTGCCGTGGTTGGGATTCGAACCAATGACCTTAATACCTACCTACCTTGCTTTTCATCACCTTTGCCCATTTTGTTGGTGGGGAAGTTAGCAGTCAGGTGCACGCAGTCGAGGATGGCCAGAAGGATCTTGGTCAGCCGGAGAAGGTCGCTGAAATTGTAAAAGCCGAAGTAGATGAGATTGCGAGCCAAGTTCACCACCTAAAAAGAAGGGAAGACGAGGATTACATCGAAGTTCCGGCTCGCTCTCTTTCCACCCCCCAACTCTTCATATCTTCGCTACGGAACTTTTCTGCAGCATGAAAATTAGATGGTTGTAAACTATGTAACATTTAACCCCTTCAATGGCGGGCGCCGGCACCCCCTTCCTGCCTCCCGGGCGCCGGCACCCCCTTTCTGCCTTCGGGGACCTTCACCCCCTTCCCGCCTTCGGGGACCGTCACCCCCTTCCCGCCTCCCGGGCGCCGTCACCCCCTTCCCGCCCCGCCTCACCCCTTCCCGCCTCCCGGGCGCCGTCACCCCCTTCCCGCCTCCCGGGCGCCGTCACCCCCTTCCCGCCTCCCGGGCGCCGTCACCCCCCCCTTCCCGCCTCCCGGGCGCCGTCACCCCCTTCCCGCCCCCCGGGCGCCGTCACCCCCCCCTTCCCGCCTCCCGGGCGCCGTCACCCCCTTTCCCGCCTCCCGGGCGCCGTCTCCCCTTTCCCGCCTCCGGGCGCCGTCTCCCCTTTCCCGCCTCCCGGGCGCCGTCTCCCCTTTCCCGCCTCCCGGGCGCCGTCTCCCCTTTCCCGCCTCCCGGGCGCCGTCTCCCCTTTCCCGCCTCCCCGCCGTCCCCTTTCCCGCCTCCCGGGCGCCGTCTCCCCTTTCCCGCCTCCCGGGCGCCGTCTCACCTTTCCCCCGCCTCCCGGGCGCCGTCTCCACTTTCCCGCCTCCCGGGCGCCGTCTCCACTTTCCTGCCTCCCGGGCGCCTTCACCCCCTTCCCGCCTCCCGGGCGCCTTCACCCCCTTCCTGCCTCCGGGGGGCAGTCACCCCCTTCCTGCCTCCCGGGCGCCGTCTCCCCCTTCCTGCCCGGCCAATTTTCAGCTTTCAGCGCTGTCACACTTTGAATGACAATTGCGCAGTCATGCAGCACTGTACCCATGTGAAATTTTTTACCATTTTTTTTTTTTTACACATAAACAGAGCTTTCTTTTGGTGGTATTTATTCACCACAGAGTTTATTTTTTGCCAAATAAAACAAAAACACCTGAAACTTTATGAAAAAAAAAAACAAAAAAAAAAACACAAAACAAAAACGCACTTTTCTTCATTTTGGTGATATAATTTTCCAAATAAATAACATTTCTTCAGAAATTTATGTCAAAATGTATTCTGCTACATTTCTTTGGTGAAAATAATAATTTAATTTGTATTTTTTTTAATGTTTCTATTTTTTTTTTATTATTTTCTTTTGTTTACCATTTTATTTTTCAGCAAACTGCGACCAAACAATACAACGTTACCATAGTGACACTGAACTCCTCTGAACTCCTCTGGGCAAGTGATCAGGATTTTTGTACTATTTTTTTAACACACGATTGATGATACTAATGTATTGCATTAATATTTGCCATCATTGTTACTGAATGAAACGGATTCATTCAGTCTTTTGTTGTTATTATTATACAGGATTTATGGCGCCAACAGTGTGCTCAGCGCTGTACAATATAATGGGAGACAATACAGCACCAATACAGATCAATACAAGAGGGATAGGAGGGGCTGATCCTGGGAGCTTACAATCTAAGAGGGAGGGGCTGATCCTGGGAGCTTACAATCTAAGAGGGAGGGGCTGATCCTGGGAGCTTACAATCTAAGAGGGAGGGGCTGATCCTGGGAGCTTACAATCTAAGAGGGAGGGGCTGATCCTGGGAGCTTACAATCTAAGAGGGAGGGGCCTGATCCTGGGAGCTTACAATCTAAGAGGGAGGGGCCTGATCCTGGGAGCTTACAATCTAAGAGGGAGGGGCCTGATCCTGGGAGCTTACAATCTAAGAGGGAGGGGCTGATCCTGGGAGCTTACAATCTAAGAGGGAGGGGCCTGATCCTGGGAGCTTACAATCTAAGAGGGAGGGGCCTGATCCTGGGAGCTTACAATCTAAGAGGGATAGGAGGGCCTGATCCTGGGAGCTTACAATCTAAGAGGGAGGGCCTGATCCTGGGATCTTACAATCTAAGAGGGATAGGAGGGCCTGATCCTGGGAGCTTACAATCTAAGAGGGAGGGCCTGATCCTGGGAGCTTACAATCTAAGAGGGAGGGGCTGATCCTGGGAGCTTACAATCTAAGAGGGATAGGAGGGCCTGATCCTGGGAGCTTACAATCTAAGAGGGAGGGCCCTGATCCTGGGAGCTTACAATCTAAGAGGGAGGGCTGATCCTGGGAGCTTACAATCTAAGAGGGAGGGCCCTGATCCTGGGAGCTTACAATCTAAGAGGGAGGGGCTGATCCTGGGAGCTTACAATCTAAGAGGGAGGGCCTGATCCTGGGAGCTTACAATCTAAGAGGGAGGGCCCTGATCCCGGGAGCTTACAATCTAAGAGGGAGGGCCTGATCCTGGGATCTTACAATCTAAGAGGGATAGGAGGGCCTGATCCTGGGAGCTTACAATCTAAGAGGGAGGGGCTGATCCTGGGAGCTTACAATCTAAGAGGGATAGGAGGGCCTGATCCTGGGAGCTTACAATCTAAGAGGGAGGGGCTGATCCTGGGAGCTTACAATCTAAGAGGGTTAGGAGGGCCTGATCCTGGGAGCTTACAATCTAAGAGGGAGGGGCCTGATCCCGGGAGCTTACAATCTAAGAGGGAGGGCCCTGATCCTGGGAGCTTACACAATCTAAGAGGGAGGGGCTGATCCTGGGAGTTTACAATCTAAGAGGGAGGGCCCTGATCCTGGGAGCTTACAATCTAAGAGGGAGGGGCTGATCCTGGGAGCTTACAATCTAAGAGGGAGGGGCTGATCCTGGGAGCTTACAATCTAAGAGGGAGGGGCTGATCCTGGGAGTTTACGATCTAGGAGGGAGGGCCTGATCCTGGGAGCTTACAATCTAAGAGGGAGGGCCTGATCCTGGGAGCTTACAATCTAAGAGGGAGGGCCCTGATCCCGGGAGCTTACAACCTAAGAGGGAGGGCCTGATCCTGGGATCTTACAATCTAAGAGGGATAGGAGGGCCTGATCCTGGGAGCTTACAATCTAAGAGGGAGGGGCTGATCCTGGGAGCTTACAATCTAAGAGGGATAGGAGGGCCTGATCCTGGGAGCTTACAATCTAAGAGGGATAGGAGGGCCTGATCCTGGGAGCTTACAATCTAAGAGGGAGGGGCCTGATCCCGGGAGCTTACAATCTAAGAGGGAGGGGCCTGATCCCGGGAGCTTACAATCTAAGAGGGAGGGGCCTGATCCCGGGAGCTTACAATCTAAGAGGGAGGGCCTGATCCTGGGAGCTTACAATCTAAGAGGGAGGGCCTGATCCTGGGAGTTTACAATCTAAGAGGGAGGGGCCTGATCCTGGGAGCTCACAATCTAAGAGGGAGGGGCCTGATCCTGGGAGCTCACAATCTAAGAGGGAGGGCCTGATCCTGGGAGCTCACAATCTTAGAGGGAGGGCCTGATCCTGGGAGCTCACAATCTTAGAGGGAGGGCCTGATCCTGGGAGCTCACAATCTTAGAGGGAGGGCCTGATCCTGGGAGCTTACAAGTTGTGATTTGCTGTGATTGGGCAAAGCTGATCACATGGTACAGATGGGCTGATTGGCCCTGTCTGTAACATGTGACTGCCTTGACCACGTAATTGTATACAATGGAAGGCATGACAGGAAGCCATCCATTGTATACAATCGCCATGTGATCTGCTGTGATTGGTCACAGGGGTCACATGACACTGGCAACGGGGCGGTGTAATGATATGTCATCGGCTTTGTCCCGTGGCTATAGCGGGCGACAGATCACGCCACTGCATGGCCCTGCGGCCGCGCGAGCGTCTCGTTTTGACAGGACATCATATGACGCCCAGTGACAACGGCAAGTGTCCCGCCCGGCCGTCAATCTGCTATAGGCCGGGCCAGAAGGTGTTAAATTCCATTTTTGTTTGGGGGAAAAAAAAAAATGTCCCCTTGAGGTCACATTATACTTTGTAGGGATTTCAACCACCTTTACCGTACGCCCCAACAAACGTCGGTCCTGTGCACACAGATGAAGAATTCGGCCACTGCCCTTTATATAACAACTCTCAGCGTAGATTCAGAAAGGCAGGGGGGGGCCTTTCCAGCTGGCCTAGCAGTACCACCCCCCAGAGTCCATCGCTCAGCAATGCTGTCTAGGACCGAAGTAAAATGATACGGTAGATGAAATCATAAAGCAGGAGGCTCAATGAGCACAATGATCGAACCAAAGTACCTTCCCTCTGAAGAAGATGCACAGTAAGAGTTCACAAATCCGTTCATTAAATGTGAATGTTCCTATGGAGGTGGCAACACGTTTTGGAGATACACAACTGCACCCTTGCTTCATCATGGCATCATTTCTAGCTGGAGGGATCCTGGACTCCCAAAGAGATCCTAGGAGAGGACTGGTAGCAAGGAGGAAAGTAATGTCTGCTCTGGCTGCAGGTTGGGATGCCAAATGTAAAAATCCGAGCAATCTGAGGATATCTCCTTGGGTCCAGGTTCCCACCGCCCCACCAGCAGTTGTACACCCCTGAAACACATAGGTACCTCCAAGAACATTTTCATTTAGGAACGTTTCTAGGTTGTGAAAACCTCGGAACCCAATAATCTTTAGTACAAGGAGCCAGTGTGGGGCCACGGCTAAGAGCAGTCTGTGGGCACAAAAGGACCGTGGCCCCCATTAGTGATCCTAGGACGTAGTCCAGCACCCCACCACACTGAACCTTCACAGAAAGACTTAAATCACCTCAAACGTCAACTTGTTCTTCTCTTTATCGGAGAAGGGAAATCTCTGCCCGACCACATCCCTCAAATATTCTTCCACAAACTCCATCGTCTGAGCGAATCTCTCCTTTATGTCGTCCCTCGATGTCCCACTGCTGTCATAGCTGTGAGATGAAGAACAGAGAAGTGCCAAGGGTCAAACACTGTAAACTGGCGTCTTTTACATTTCACATCGTAGTCAGCTGCCACAAGGAAAATTAAAGAGAAAATACTGGAAAATGGCCTTCCCATCATCAGATGGTCATCTGATGATGGAAAAGAGTCACTCTGTACCTACGAAGGAGCAACATTGTTATCTCAGGAGAGCACGTGTGTCAGGACTATAGAACACCTCCATCTTTCCTCATCCCTCAAACATGGGGGGGGCTGTTCTATAGTCCTCAGAGTACTGGGAACAATCATACTTGGCAACCACCAGGAGTGGCACTTTCTTTGGGGTATTTACAGACCAAAGGGGAGCAAATAAGAGAAGTTCATTGGTAGGGATACATACACTTCAAGAATCCTGTATACAGTAAGGAATGAGGCCAAACGTACGGAAAAGTAGATTTCAGCTTTACAGAGCAGGAGGAAAGTACGTAGAGCCGAGAATGGATGGAATGAGGGGAGATTATGGCGCACAGTGGCTGCTTGCCGTAACAATGTGTCGTGTAAGGAACAGAAGAGGCTTCCAGGAGGAGATCCCATCAGGGAGAACTTCCTCCACCAAAGAAAGATTGAGCAGATGCAAGGAAAAGCTTTCCACTGGAGAGGTTCTGGATGAGAGTGTGACCAGGATGAAGGAACGTCTCCGACCATTGACTTACTCATCTATAGCGATTTCTGAAGGTATCTCCGACCAGAGGCGGGCGTATTTCACAGGGGTCACCTGTTCCTGGGGGTCTCGGTCCACATGCATGTGCAAGCATCAATCTGCAGAATGAGGCTCGCAGGTCGAACGGAAGATTCTCATCAGACATACAGCGGAGAATAAGATCCACATCTAGCTGGCCGGAGATTTCATTAATGGCCAAGTACTGCCGGTCCAGGCACATGCGGGCAAAGAGGTTTAGTTGGTACCTGGAATGAGACACAAGTGGAAATATCTAAACATGCCACCAGTGGCATCTTAAGAGCATCGTGACCCCCTGGCAAAATGTTATGTCCCCCCATCCGTCAGGTGTCCATCACAGTGCGCGGCGCCCCCATCCGTCAGGTGTCCATCACAGTGTACTCACATCCCCAGATGCTGTTCCCATTGCAGTCCATGGAGACAGAGTTCCCCCAGACCAGAGTTCTCCATCCACAGTTCTGAGCCCCCATCAGTTCAGAGCCCCCAGTTCTGAGACCCTTCCCCTTGTACTGAGACCAGAGATCTGAGACCAGATGTTCTGAGATCCCAGAGTTCTGACCAGAGTTCTGAGACCATCTGAGACCAGAGTTCTGAGACCAGAGTTCTGAGACCAGAGTTGAGTCTTGGTGCAGGCTCCCTTACACCCCCTGCAGGAGGGAAAAAAGCTGACTCCTCCCTTCAACATCAGCCAATCATTGCTTCTTCTGACAGGAGTGACATTGCAGTTATTTTGGTCAAAGACGAGTGGCACAAGTGGCCATATCTCCAATCCATACCCCAACAGAGCACCCAGGTTCCCCCTTGTCCTAACCCTAATTAAGGGGCCTCCATGCCCCCGGGGCCCCTGGGCAATACCCACCATTCTTTAAAACGGCCCTGCATGCCACTCTGCTGTGGAAGTCACACATTTGCTGTTCCACCTAAATACCTGTAATAACTTAAGACATCCTGGTCCTCCTTCTGTCCTTCTTTGGCATCTTGAGCCAACTCTCGAACACTTTTACTTCGCGTTTCCTTATTGGCATCTCTCCAGAAAAGCCAAACTTCCTCCTCGTCCTCTCCGTTTTCCAGAGGGCTCTCGCTACTGTTCACACCCTCAAATTCAAAACGTGACAGTACCAGCCTTAAGAAAACGAAAAACAACATTGACTCCAGACTTATGACTTTGCAGGAACCACCATCTACATCTGGAGAACCCCTTAGCAGTGGATTCCATACTTTGTCTCGATGAGGATATCGGCATTGGCAGCATTCAGAACGGCTTTGCATATCAACTCTTGTGTGACGGGGATGGATTTGTTCATGGACACACAGAGGTCAGAGAGGTAATCCAGGAACCTAGAAAAAAAAACAGAAAAGGTCAGATCAGCCAATCCCCAAACACAAACGTCTTCTCCAAAACCACAAAAAGTGGCCAAAAGTCTTTTCTGAAGGCATCTGAACAGCTTGTGGAGAACATACAGGTATGTGCACCTTTATACTTGCGCCAACCCTACCCATGGTCCCTAAAACCAGTCCATGTTCATCTTGTACACCCAAAGCGGAGCTTCCCCTCTTGGCTCTAAGGCCTCCTGCACACACACGGTATGGATGTTGGAGCTTCTGCTTTTTTTTTTTTTTTTTTTTTAACATGTCAGGCGCTTGTTTTGCACACATTCACGTGTATTTATGCGCATATTTACATGCATAAGAGCACGTTTGTGTACACAATATATTTTTAGGGAAAATATTTATGGTCATATGTGCTTATTCGTGCATATTTTGTGCACACACACGGCATAAATTACAGACTAAAAATGCAGATTTTGTTTTTTTTTTTTTTTTTTACGGAGGACTACCCAGTACACATTTACACGCCTGTGTGCAAAGGCACATTTTAAAATAATGGATTACATTTTACCCCAGTAAATAAATAACCCGCTGTATTGAGTTTTCAAGCTGCTGTGTGCAAAACTGAGATTGATCCGATGTGTTTCCCAAGCCAGTAATGGTTTCCAACGAAACCGGACATGACTAATTACTCGTCGCTTCCGGAGATGATCGGGGGACGTTCTGGTCCGCCATCATATTATAACCCACAGGGCATCGTTCACAGGCATCACTGATGGCCACATGTACGGGTCCAACTGGAGCCTTCTGGAGATGATCGGGGGACGTTCTGGTCCGCCATCATAATATAACCCACAGGGCATCGTTCACAGGCATCACTGATGGCCACATGTACGGGCCACATGTACGGGCCAACTGGAGCCTTCCGGAGATGATCGGGGGACGTTCTGGTCCGCCATCATAATATAACCCACAGGGCATCGTTCACAGGCATACTGATGGCCACATGTACGGGTCCAACTGGAGCCTTCTGGAGATGATCGGGGGACGTTCTGGTCCGCAGTCATATTATAACCCACAGGGCATCGTTCACAGGCTGATGGCCACATGTACGGGTCCAACTGGAGCCTTCCGGAGATGATCGGGGGACGTTCTGGTTCCGCCATCATAATATAACCCACAGGGCATCGTTCACAGGCATCACTGATGGCCACATGTACGGGTCCAACTGGAGCCTTCCGGAGATGATCAGGGGACGTTCTAGTCCGCCAGTCATATTATAACACCCACAGGGCATCGTTCAGAGGCATCACTGATGGCCACATGTACGGGTCCAACTGGAGCCTTCTGGAGATGATCGGGGGACGTTCTGGTCCGCCATCATAATATAACCCACAGGGCATCGTTCACAGGCATTACTGATGGCCACATGTACGGGTCCAACTGGAGCCTTGGAGATGATCGGGGGACGTTCTGGTTCGCCATCATATTATAACCCACAGGGCATCGTTCACAGGCATCACTGATGGCCACATGTACGGCCAACTGGAGCCTTCTGGAGATGATCGGGGGACGTTCTGGTCCGCCATCATAATATAACCCACAGGGCATCGTTCACAGGCATTACTGATGGCCACATGTACGGGTCCAACTGGAGCCTTCCGGAGATGATCGGGGGACGTTCTGGTCCGCCATCATAATATAACCCACAGGGCATCGTTCACAGGCATTACTGATGGCCACATGTACGGGTCCAACTGGAGCCTTCCGGAGATGATCGGGGGACGTTCTGGTCCGCCATCATAATATAACCCACAGGGCATCGTTCACAGGCATTACTGATGGCCACATGTACGGGCCAACTGGAGCCTTCTGGAGATGATCGGGGGACGTTCTGGTTCGCCATCATATTATAACCCACAGGGCATCGTTCACAGGCATCACTGATGGCCACATGTACGGGTCCAACTGGAGCCTTCCGGAGATGATCGGGGGACGTTCTGGTCCGCCATCATATTATAACCCACAGGGCATCGTTCACAGGCATCACTGATGGCCACATGTACGGGTCCAACTGGAGCCTTCTGGAGATGATCGGGGGACGTTCTGGTTCGCCATCATATTATAACCCACAGGGCATCGTTCACAGGCATCACTGATGGCCACATGTACGGGTCCAACTGGAGCCTTCCGGAGATGATCGGGGGACGTTCTGGTCCGCCATCATATTATAACCCACAGGGCATCGTTCACAGGCATCACTGATGGCCACATGTACGGGTCCAACTGGAGCCTTCCGGAGATGATCGGGGGACGTTCTGGTCCGCCATCATATTATAACCCACAGGGCATCGTTCACAGGCATCACTGATGGCCACATGTACGGGTCCAACTGGAGCCTTCCGGAGATGATCGGGGGATGTTCTGGTCCGCCATCTTATTATAACCCACAGGGCATCGTTCACAGGCATCACTGATGGCCACATGTACGGGCCAACTGGGGTCTCGCATCTTGAAGCCTTCTATAGGAATAGTATTGGGGGGGGGGGGGGGGGGGAGGGATTACAAACTCTTTAGTTCAGGCTAGTTAGAGAAGACCGGCAGGCCCTAGGAGGCCGGATTTGATTTATTTTGTCTGAAATTTGTGGTGTTTTTTTTGGACTATAGCAACATTTAAAATCTAATAAAGAATTAAAAAAAAAAAAAAAAAAGTATTGTTACAGTTTTGTTTGGGATTGGTCAATACGGAGTGATATAAAGGATGGAAGAGCTGCCTTTCCATGGAAGACATAGCCCAGCCTCAGTATCCCCTCCAATAGTGCCCAGCCAGGGACCTCGGCATTTCTTCATCAGCTCTATGACAAAGGGAAGGAACAGAGCTCAGAGCCGCCAATGTTTTGCTTCAGCAGGCATCATGTGACCGAAGACCTAGACCTTGGGCCAAGTGGTCCTGGCTACATTTCCTGGCTATGCTGACTTTCAATTTCTGCCACGAGAGGCAATTTTAGGGGTTCTGTTGGACCCCCTTTACATTCCCGTAAAACCGTTTTAGTTTTATGTTCCCATTGCCAGGTATTTTTCATTTTACTAGAAGAAGGAAGCCCTACGCACTTTACATTCCCCCCACGTGGCCCCCTGTCTCACCTGGGCTCCCGGTTCTTCCTCACCAGGCTGACGAAGGTGTCGATCTCGGCCGCGGTGATGTGCTTCTCCAGCAGCTTGCGGTTATTGTGCAGCAGCGCAGTAATGGTGTCTTCCGCCAGGACGTCATATCCGATCTGCTTCTGCATAAAGCCAAATTGTTTGGCGATGTATTCCTGGGCAGAGAAAAAGAAGGGTTACACGGGGGCGAAGGGTTCCCACGGGGCGACGCGGGGCGAAGGGTCCTTACGGGGCGAAGGGACGCGGGGCGAAGGGACCCACGAAGGGGCGAAGGGACCCCCGGGCCGAAGGGACCCACCGGGGCGAGGGTCCCGCGGGGCGAAGGGTCCCCACCGGGTCCCGCCGAAGGGACCCCGCGGGGCACCGGGCCGAAGGGACCCACCGGGCGAAGGGTCCCACGGGGCGAAGGGTCCCACGGGGCGAAGGGTCCCGCGGGGGGGCGAAGGGTCCCACGGGGCGAAGGGTCCACGGGGCGAAGGGACCCGCGGGGCGAAGGGACCCACGGGGCGAAGGGACCCGCGGGGCGAAGGGACCCACGGGGCGAAGGGTCCCACGGGGCGAAGGGGCGAAGGGACCCGCGGGGCGAAGGGACCCACGGGGCAGCTCAGTCTGCAGTAAGAGGTCAACACGGATACCAAGAAATGGATCCCTTGATTTCCCGACAAACTACAAGGTGGAATCAAAAAAGTTTCAAGATTAGTTCTGTAACACGCTCACAGATGGCAGCACAAGGCGGCACGCACAGTCACAGGGAGCACCGACCTTCAGTAGTCAGTATGGAAAAAGACATCGTCCTGTGTACATCGGGAGCTGAGTAACTGGTGCTATTCTCACCACGAGTGTTACGGTCAGGAAAGGAATCCTCACGTGCGTAGGCACATGGGGCTAAGGAACTCTGCCCACGGTAGGCATATGCGCGAACTGGTGCAGGAGCGCACGTGCAAATTCACATTGGCGCCACAGGATCTATTTGAACTGCACTGCCCAGCCTGTCAGTGCCATTTGGTCTATTGCGTTCCTGTGTTCCAGATACCAGTCAATGACCCGGTCTGCCCCGGATTCGGCTCTGATTGCCGCCTGTACCAACCGTCCTTCTCCTTGGCCTGCTCCTCCTGTCATACCTTCAGCTGTTACTGACCCTGGCTTGACTTCTGACCCTGGCCTGCCGCTTGTACCTCATCTGCTCGCTGGATGCCGATCTGGACTGTCTGACCCAACCTTGTACCTGTTCAGCCGCCTCTGCATCAGTTCATCTGCAGCCTATCCCATCCTGGGGTTCTGCTCTTCTGACGACACATCGGCATTAACCACCAAGAGACCATCACCCCGCGCATTTCCTGACACCTTACCAAGGGCTCCTTCACCGGGACAGAAGTCACATGATTGGGAAAGGTCCCAATCGAAAGAGGAGATCGAGACCTTTCCTTGAGTACCGGACGTGTGTGCTGGGAGTGCGCAGGGGCGCGCTCTCTCAGCACATATGTTCCTTTTCAATAAAACGCAAATTAGCGGCCGCTCGGCGTCTAGGCCCAGATGCCGACAGGCCGCACATTTGCGTTCGGACGGCGTGAAGAGGTTAATGCCCAAGCACAATTTTGCAACGATGACACGTTAGAAAAAAACGTACATATCATCACAACTACTTTGTACATCCGGGCGGATTATACCGCGTTTTTTTTCAGGACAAATTGGGCTTCATTTGGTGGTGAATGGTCATGGATATCTCCTGATTTTTTTTTTTATTATCAAAGGAAAACTGGCACAAAATAGTAAAACAAAAAAAAAAAAAAAAAAAAAAAATTTTTTTTAATTTAGCTGTGTGTGTGTTACTACCATAACCAACTACCAAAGAACAACCCAAAATACATTTTTCCAGCTCTTGACGATCGCAGCGACACCATATGTGTTGATGTTATTTGTTGCTTGGAACCGCAGTACGGCCCAGAAACAAGAGTGCGCATTTTGCTTTTTTTGTTTTTGTTTTATTTTGTAACTAAAAACACACTGACACTAAAACTAATACCAATTTAAAAAAAAAAAAAAAAAGTCCTGACCTTTGACCCTAACCTTTTGCCCTTGACCCAAAAACTAACCCTGGCACTGAACTAAATCAAACCTCCATCTCGGTATATTTTCTTTTATTTTTTAATATTTCTTTTTCTTAAACTTTTTTTCTCAATGCCGGAGTTAGAGATACAATGTATAATAGAATGTATATAATGACCATGTATCTCTCTCCTCCATTCATTGAAAAAAAAAAGAAAAACAAAACAAGGGAGGCAGGCTATACACTGACTGATCACTGTGATAGCCAATCAGAGGCTACCACAGCGATCATGTGACCTGGAATCGGGAGTCCTGGTTCCCAATAATTAGGACAGGTCCCGGGGCTTTCAGCGACACAAGAGACAGGTACGCAAATATGCGGCCCCACGGAAAAAAGCCCCGTTCTGTGTGGTTGCATATTTGTGATACGAAGGAGTTAAAGAGAAAACAACTCATTTTGGGGAGGCGATGACTCCCTGAAAATATTGGGGAACACAGCCAACCTTTACAGGAAAGGGAGATGGAAAACACAAGACACAAAGATCAGAAAGAGTGAAGTCTTCATGCGTTCCTTTAGTTTGTGATCATCACGGCTCCCACGTTTCATCAATAAAAGGATTTCTAGATACAGAATTATAATTGCAAGTTTTTCTCTTTCCACTTGAGCGTAATACGAAGAAATCCGACTTGGAACGTTTCCGTTTTCTGAAGCTGAACTGCAACAGCAGAACGTTTCATGACCAATTTGGTGAAGCTCCCACGTCGGGTACATTTACCCTCAGGGGCGGACTGACCATTTGGAAACTCGGACACTGCCTGAGGGCCCGGGGTCAGTAGGGGGCCCCATGAGATGCCCCTGGTACCTTTTTCATAGGCTTGAGTTTGGGCAAGGACACAGGGGCCCCATGATCCCCTATTGCCCGAGGGCCCCATGAGTTGTCAGCCCGCCCCTGCTTACACTCATCATTACAAAATACCTGATTCTTGCGGTAGTCTTGCTGGGAGTGCCGCAGGACGCGGTAGCACAGCCGGCAGATGTGCCTGAATGGTGCATGTCTTTGATCCCCCAGCTCCTCCAGCCTCAGCATTGGACCATCACCACCATCCGTAAACGGGGCCTGCAACAGCTTGAAGATCTGCCGGGGAGGAGACAACCGTGCTCAGCAATGTCAACGCTTTCCTGAAAACCCATCCTTACAGAACCCAACACGCACCTGTTTCAGGATATTCTGCTCCCGCATCAGCTTCTGGCGTTCGCGGTTGGGTTTGTTCACCAGGACCTCCAGAACATCCTGCCCAGAATTCACTCCAGCTGTTACAAAGTAAACCAACTCCTCCAAGAGTTTGGTCACGGCCCTAAACCAGAAAGGCAGAGCAAAAGTCACACTCAACAACATGAGATGGGGGGGGGGGGGGGGGGGGTTGGTTTATTCCATATACAAACATCTGACTCTGGAGGAAAGCGGAGACCTGGACAACGGTCTTTGGAGGAAAGCAGAGACCTGGACAACGGTCTTTGGAGGAAAGCAGAGACCTGGACAACGGTCTTTGGAGGAAAGCAGAGACCTGGACAACGGTCTTTGGAGGAAAGCAGAGACCTGGACAACGGTCTTTGGAGGAAAGCAGAGACCTGGACAACGGTCTTTGGAGGAAAGCAGAGACCTGGACAACGGTCTTTGGAGGAAAGCAGAGACCTGGACAACGGTCTTTGGAGGAAAGCAGAGACCTGGACAACGGTCTTTGGAGGAAAGCAGAGACCTGGACAACGGTCTTTGGAGGAAAGCAGAGACCTGGACAACGGTCTTTGGAGGAAAGCAGAGACCTGGACAACGGTCTTTGGAGGAAAGCAGAGACCTGGACAACGGTCTTTGGAGGAAAGCAGAGACCTGGACAACGGTCTTTGGAGGAAAGCAGAGACCTGGACAACGGTCTTTGGAGGAAAGCAGAGACCTGGACAACGGTCTTTGGAGGAAAGCAGAGACCTGGACAACGGTCTTTGGAGGAAAGCAGAGACCTGGACAACGGTCTTTGGAGGAAAGCAGAGACCTGGACAACGGTCTTTGGAGGAAAGCAGAGACCTGGACAACGGTCTTTGGAGGAAAGCAGAGACCTGGACAACGGTCTTTGGAGGAAAGCAGAGACCTGGACAACGGTCTTTGGAGGAAAGCAGAGACCTGGACAACGGTCTTTGGAGGAAAGCAGAGACCTGGACAACGGTCTTTGGAGGAAAGCAGAGACCTGGACAACGGTCTTTGGAGGAAAGCAGAGACCTGGACAACGGTCTTTGGAGGAAAGCAGAGACCTGGACAACGGTCTTTGGAGGAAAGCAGAGACCTGGACAACGGTCTTTGGAGGAAAGCAGAGACCTGGACAACGGTCTTTGGAGGAAAGCAGAGACCTGGACAACGGTCTTTGGAGGAAAGCAGAGACCTGGACAACGGTCTTTGGAGGAAAGCAGAGACCTGGACAACGGTCTTTGGAGGAAAGCAGAGACCTGGACAACGGTCTTTGGAAGAAGACTTGTCTAACTGGTAAGGGAGTTTCAGTATTTCCAGGTTCTTTAAAGTGAGATATGTCCCACCACAAATTGTTCAAGCATCCATAGCCTCTTACCTCCTCTCGTTCTGGGTAATGGTCCCCTTCTCCAACTTCCCAGCAATGGAAGAGAGAACTTTACTGGCATCGTTGGCAAAGTCCAGATCTCTAACCTCCGCCGGAGACACGGGAACAATGGCAAATGCTTCCTTGTCTTCTTTCACAGGGGACGTTCCAATCTAAGTGAGGTAGGAAGGACACAACAGTCATTATTGAACACAAGTCCATACAAAGTTCTTTTTAGGTCTACCCAATCAAAAGCTCATAATATTAGCATTAATATAGCCAACCTGAGGTGAAATGCTAGCCCAACATGTCTCTGGGGGTTCCCAACATGCCTCTGGAGGCTAGAGGGAGGTGCCACACACACAAAATTAAATTAAGATAAATGCTCACAAAGACACGAAGATGATCTCATCCAAATCAAGAGACATTTAGTCCCATACGTTGGTCACCATGGACCTCATCCTCTCCTCAGATGCACAGCCCAGTGTTTAAAATATCGCCATTCTTAGAACACATTCTCACCATGTTTTTCACATTTTGTTGAATATAGAGTGAATTTCCCTTTTTTTTGGTAGATATTTTTTCCTAATGATATAATTTGGTTGGCCAGGTTATTCCACAATGAAAGTGTCAGGAAAACTAGCAACATCCATGTCAAAGTGATCGCTTTCTGGGTGAAAAGGAGCATCTCCAAAGGAAAACAGACAATGAGGCCACCAGTCCTTTTAAGAAAAACCAATTTTTTTTTTTTTTTTTTTTTTTTTTTAAAAAGGGCAAATTTTTTTTCCTATTTTGGAAAGAGTAAGGGAGGGTTATAACCTCTGTCAGTTTTTTTTGCCATCTTTGTCCCATTGGGGAGATTAACCTTCACGTTCTGTCCCATAGCAAAAACAGGAAGTGAGAAGAAATTCCTGCAAATTTAGGGAATCCCTTGGGGACCCCCCCAGGTCACCAGAAATAGTGACCCCATTGGAAGATTTCCCCTCTTTCTGTTCTGGGGACAACCCTAAATTCCAAAATTTGGGATTTTCGCTTTCCTTTTCTTTCAATGATAATGGTAAACATGACAAATAGAGGGTAAATCTCCCTAACGGGGACACCGACAGGGGGTCTCCCCCTCCAGCCAGGGGCCCTCCGCCCTCCAGCCAGGGGGCCTCCGCCCTCCAGCCAGGGGGCCTCCGCCCTCCAGCCAGGGGGTCTCCGCCCTCCAGCCAGGGGGTCTCCGCCCTCCATTCATTGCTGAACAGGAGGATCAATGATGGGCAATGCTCTGCATGTCAGGAGGGTCAATGATGGGCAATGCTCTGCATGTCAGGAGGATCAATGATGGGCAATGCTCTGCATGTCAGGAGGATCAATGATGGGCAATGCTCTGCATGTCAGGAGGATCAATGATGGGCAATGCTCTGCATGTCAGGAGGATCAATGATGGGCAATGCTCTGCATGTCAGGAGGATCAATGATGGGCAATGCTCTGCATGTCAGGAGGATCAATGATGGGCAATGCTCTGCATGTCAGGAGGATCAATGATGGGCAATGCTCTGCATGTCAGGAGGATCAATGATGGGCAATGCTCTGCATGTCAGGAGGATCAATGATGGGCAATGCTCTGCATGTCAGGAGGATCAATGATGGGCAATGCTCTGCATGTCAGGAGGATCAATGATGGGCAATGCTCTGCATGTCAGGAGGATCAATGATGGGCAATGCTCTGCATGTCAGGAGGATCAATGATGGGCAATGCTCTGCATGTCAGAAGGATCAATGATGGGCAATGCTCTGCATGTCAGGAGGCCCCCTTCCCGCAAAGATGTGAACATGGTGAGAATAGTTTGCAAGACCTTTAGAATTTTGATTTGTAGAAAAATCAATAAAAGGATAATTCCACATCACTGGGTCAGTATTTCCAAACATCGCGTCTATTCCAAGGAAAAGTGGAAGAAATGTGAAATGCGGAACAAAACACTCCTATAAATGTGTCAATGACCCAACAACCCGTCCTAATACACAGCTGGAAATGGGAGAACATCTGCGTATAGAAGGCCAATGTTCGGTCAGGAAGGTGGATTGTCCAGCATTGACTCCAATTTGGAGTATTGAGATGTGAGCGACATCGTGTAATAATCCGAGCGTACCCGCAACATAACCGGCTTCTCCTCGTCCTTGTCTATGGGGCTGTTGGTACTGTGCACCCAAGTGTTGGTACACAAATGGCGCAGTCGTACGTAGGAGTTTCTGCAAAACACAAACAGAAGATGGGATTTGATTAGACATGTGGGGTTAGTTTCATTATGAATCGAAATGGAGAAAATGTTAGTTATTCGGAGATTTGGATGTATCCGAAATTCCGGATCACAACAGTAACAAATTTTGGAGAATCAAAAATGAAAAGCAAACCTCAAATAACTCAAAAATGAAATAAAATCAAACTCAAATATGACATCAAATTTGAAATTCAAAAATGAAAATCGAACCTCAAACAATTTAAAAATTAAATCACTCAAATTTGAAAATCAAATCAAACTTGAAAAGGACATCAAATTTGAAATGGAAATATATTGCAACACATACAGTAAGGTATTAAAGTTAAGATGATTTCTACTTTGGCCGCTTTATAGAAAAGAATAAAATAGAATGGAATAGAATAAAGCAAAACAGAAGACAACAATAGAATAAAACTGAACAGAAAATATATGTATAAAAAGATAGAATAAAACAGAATAGAAGTAAAACAGAACAAGACAATAGAATAAAACTGAACAGAAATTACATGTATGAAAAGAATAAAACAGAATAGAATAGTAAAAAAAATACCATAAAAGAAAAGAATATAAAAGAATTGAATGAATTGAATGAATTTAGGCGTCTTCCGAATTGCTTTGAAAACAACAAATCTATGAAACGAATCTAAATAAAACAATTTCGTAAAATTAAACATTCTAACTTAACGAATATGACAAACCGAAATTAGCGAACAAATCCGAAAAGAAAATAAATGTTTTCTTCGTGCTCATCTCTAGATTTGATACCCAAAGCAACCAACCAATCAGCTCTTCAATCCTAATTTCAACCAGGCAAAACAAAATGTGGCATCTGGAGGAATCCCATGAGCTGTGTAGAGGACTTTCCTGTCGGTGACGAGGATCCCAAGGCCTAGTGGAAGACTTGATCCCACAGAGCAACCACCAACCTTGGCACCAGGCTGTCGCCGCCTCTTAGAGTGGTCGGGTCCAACTCAAAGATGGAGGAGATATCGTTGCCTTCAGGAACAGAGACCAACGTGCACATCATCTTCTCTGGAGCCACTCTCATCCTGGCACGGGCCGGGTCCTGATCCACGTCCATCTGCAAATGGAACAAACTTTTGAGAACTTTTGCATTTTTCATAAATTTGCACAAGATCCATCATATGCATAATTCCATATTTTTTGGCAAGAAGAGGAAAAACTAGCATTTGAACTTCTATTTATTAAATTTGTGCACTTTGGTCTTTGTATCTCTATCTCCCGTCTGATCAATGTTTATAAACAATGTTACTTTGTATCTCTCCATCTCCCGTCTGATCGATGTTTATAAACAATGTTACTTTGTATCTCTATCCCCCGTCTGATCGATGTTTATAAACAATGTTACTTTGTATCTCTCCATCCCCCGTCTGATCGATGTTTATAAACAATGTTACTTTGTATCTCTCCATCTCCCGTCTGATCGATGTTTATAAACAATGTTACTTTGTATCTCTCTATCCCCGTCTGATCGATGTTTATATACAATGTTACTTTGTATCTCTCCATCTCCCGTCTGATCGATGTTTATAAACAATGTTACTTTGTATCTCTATCCCCCGTCTGATCGATGTGTTTATAAACAATGTTACTTTGTATCTCTCTGTCTCCCGTCTGATCGATGTTTATAAACAATGTTACTTTGTATCTCTCCATCTCCCGTCTGATCGATGTTTATAAACAATGTTACTTTGTATCTCTATCCCCCGTCTGATCGATGTTTATAAACAATGTTACTTTGTATCTCTCTATCTCCCGTCTGATCGATGTTTATAAACAATGTTACTTTGTATCTCTATCTCCCGTCTGATCGATGTTTATAAACAAAGGTCCTTTGTTCTCTCTTCTGATCGGGGGGGGGGGGGGGGGGGGGAACAATGCCCCACTGATTGGGTCAGTTGGGGGGGGGGGGGGGGAGAAACAGTGCCCCACTGATTAGGTCAGTTGGGGGGGGGGGGGGGGGGGGGGGGGGGGGGGGACAGTGCCCCACTGATTAGGTCAGTTGGGGGGGGGGGGGGGGGGACAGTGCCCCACTGATTGGGTCAGTAGGGGGGTGGGGGGGGGGGGGGAGGAACAGTGCCCCACTGATTGGGTCAGTTGGAGGGGGGGGGGGGGAAGGAACAGTGCCCTACTGATTGGGTCAGTTGGAGGGGGGGGGGAAGGAACAGTGCCCCACTGATTGGGTCAGTTGGGGGGGAGGGAAGGAACAGTGCCCCACTGATTGGGTCGGGTGGGGGGGGGGGGGGAGGAACAGTGCCCCACTGATTGGGTCAGTTGGGGGTGGGGGGGGGGAAGGAACAGTGCCCCACTGATTGGGTCAGTTGGGGGTGGGGGGGGGAAGGAACAGTGCCCCACTGATTGGGTCAGTTGGGGGTGGGGGGGGGAAGGAACAGTGCCCCACTGATTGGGTCAGTTGGGGGGGGAAGGAACAGTGCCCCACTGATTGGGTCAGTTGGGGGGGAAGGAACAGTGCCCCACTGATTGGGTCAGTTGGGGGGGAAGGAACAGTGCCCCACTGATTGGGTCAGTTGGGGGGGAAGGAACAGTGCCCCACTGATTGGGTCAGTTGGGGGGGAAGGAACAGTGCCCCACTGATTGGGTCAGTTAGGGGAGGGGGGGGGGGGAAGGAACAGTGCCCCACTGATTGGGTCAGTTGGGGGGGGGGGGGGGAAGGAACAGTGCCCCACTGATTGGGTCAGTTGGGGGGGGGAAGGAACAGTGACCCACTGATTGGGTCAGTTGGGGGGGGGGGGGGGGAAGGAACAGTGCCCCACTGATTGGGTCAGTTTGGGTGGGGGGGGGGGGGGGGGAAGGAACAGTGCCCCACTGATTGGGTCAGTTGGGGGGGGGGGGGGGGAGGAACAGTGCCCCACTGATTGGGTCAGTTGGGGGGGGGGGGGGGGGAAGGAAACAGTGCCCCACTGATTGGGTCAGTTGGGGGGGGGGGGGGAAGGAAGGAACAGTGCCCCACTGATTGGGTCAGTTGGGGGGGGGGGGGGGGGGGAGGAACAGTGCCCCACTGATTGGGTCAGTGGGGGGGGGGGGGGGGGGGGGGGGGGGGGGGGAGGAACAGTGCCCCACTGATTGGGTCAGTGGGGGGGGGGGGGGGGGGGAAGGAGCAGTGCCCCACTGATTGGGTCAGTTGGGGCGCGGGGGGGGGGGGGGAAGGAACAGTGCCCCCACTGATTGGGTCAGTTGGGGGGGAAGGAACAGTGCCCCACTGATTGGGTCAGTTAGGGGGGGGGGGGGGGGGGGGGGGAAGGAACAGTGCCCCACTGATTGGGTCAGTTTGGGGGGGGGGGTGCCCCACTGATTGATTGGGTCAGTTGGCAGGAATGGGGCCCTGAGGGCCAGATAAAGGCAAGCGGAGGGTCACATCCGGCCCAGAGGGCCACAGTTTGGAGGTCACTGACCTGGAGTAACACGATGTTTAAGTGAACATTGGACAAGAAAATGAACTCAAATACTGATAAAGTCACACAAACAGGTCCACAGCAGAAATAGAACAACGGCTCACTCTATGGGGGGTGGGCAGGTTTACGATGAACTGGTTATACTGCGGGTTCAACATGGAAAAGCACAAAATCTCTACACTAAATACAAGCGGCAGCTCCGATCTCCTCCAGGGGGCATCGCGGTAAGAACAGATCCTGCACGGCGCGGTGCCCAGCGTTCTCGGGTTGTCACACTGCTGTCTTCCCACAAGCCGGGACAACCACAGCAATTTATAAACTTCTACGGAAACAGATCCAGACCTTCAGGATGCTGAATGTTTCATGATTCGGCACAAACAGAATTCACTACAAATGGCTTTCGGATTATTCAGCTGTTGGAATAATCTCCGCCTACTGCCATGTGCATGAATCCCATCATGTGCAGCTTCTGCAGTATATGTACCATGTAGCTCGGTTGGTGGAGACAGCCATGAAATGGGCGAGTATTGAATGGAAGGCGGGGGCTGGGCAGCTGGAGTAAATGCCGACAGGGAACATGAGGATCTAGCACAGCGTCAAGGGCTGGTGATGGGTTAACCAAGCTGGGTCATGTCGAGTGGGGGTGGGTTAAGGCACCAAAGCTTCTACCTGCTATACTTACTGAGACCTCAGCTTCCAGGCTACCTGCCTCATAGTCAGGGTTCACCTGAGGAAAGAACCGTACAGTGAGAAAAAAAAAAAAGTGAACCTGTCTAAAGCCACCTGCTGGAGGGGAAGCAAACACAAAAACCAAAAGTCATGGTTGGTTACTTATTACATGTGGAGATTTCCAAGATGGATCAGGTTGGAGAGAGTCCTAGAGGCCTACAAACTGCACAACATGGCTTAAAATAATCCAAGTTCCTGCTATGGCAATATGGCCCTATGAGCAAAAATGGAAGTTAGAGGATCTCTAGACCCTTTGGGGTTCCTCAACTCACCTCTGCTGCCAGGTAATGCCCCGTCGCCAAATGCTTAAATCTGAACAGGCTGTTCCAGTAGCCAGCGCCTCCTCTGCATGGGTCGTGCTGGACAACCTAAGAAACAAGAACCGCGGTACAACACATTACCAGCCCTGTACAACACATTACCAGCACCCCTGTACACCATTTGTCTGATTTTAGGACTGGGCAAAGTTCCCCCACAACTGGCCAATGGAATCGAGATAGGACCTAAAGCAGATCTAGACTAGGACATCTAGTTTGCCAAGTACTGCTTACCAAGCCATCACCGATTTTCTCTTTTAGGGAATTCTGGTTTCCACCAGCCTTCTTCCATTGTTAAGAGTGTTGCCAATCTCCTGCAGCCTCTTTGGAAACACTTCCTACCTACATGCACGCCGGTGATGGCTGCATGGCATTTCTTAGGGCGGGTTTCCTGATGGTGACAACAGTGGTCCATATCAACATAACGTTTGATGAGGCCACTTGTAGTTTCCATTGGGTGAGAGGCTGCAGCAGGGGCTGAAGGTAAAGCCTAAATGAGATTTTAAGGATTGGGTCTACCACTTTAAGGAATGTCAGTGCTAGAAAAGACCCCAAAATAATCAAACTCAGTACTAGAGTGTAATTGTAGCACACAGGAGCCATATATGTCATCCTCGGTGCCTGCGGGTCCTTCAAGACCATTCGTACAATCAGGAAGAGATTGCAGGATCATCTATACGAGATCTCCACATATCATCTCAAGTTCCCACTGGGAAGACATGTATGTCTGGAACATGATAGCGATCCCAAATTCCTCAAATGCTGGGTCTTGGAAGTTGTCCCCCATGATACTATGGGGGGGGGGGGGGGGGTTCTTCGATAGACTTGTACTTCAACATGAAGCAAGCAAGGTGGATATGGGAGCTCGAGGCCACCAAAACCCCTGGCCTTAATCAAAGCCTAAGCTTTGTCCCACTTTTACCACCTTGATGTCTCTATCCTCCCTCCTCTTTTTGTTTTCCTGTGTTATATGTGGGTTACCCATGGCACGGTCCAATGGGGTTTCTGTTGTTTTTTTGTAGACCGGACCATATGAAGTGTAATAGAAGGTTGGTAGTCTTTGGACGCATATTGGAACTATCCTTGTTTGTTTCTTGTGATTGATTTGAATTCTTTGTTGGCTTTCCGTGGATTGGGCCCCAATATCTGACACTTATTTCAGGATTAAATACGTCTTTTAAGGTGAAATGCTTTATATGTTTAGTCATTAATCTATTTATGTGGATATTGCAGTGGCTACAAGATGACACCCGAGAGGTCTTTTGCCATTATAGCTCACCTTTTGTTTATCTCCGGATATTTTTCTTTGTCTGTAGATGACGCCCATTGTACTGCGCATGCGTGTGACGTCACTGAGCATGTTGCGTCGTGACGCATTGTGTGTGCGCGGTGGACATTTTAGGGTGTCCATTTTAGGGGCCCAGTCCATGAGGCATGCCAAACAAACTTTAGCCTACCTCTGAGGTAGCCCAATGTACCGGTGAAACCGGTCAGGAGGGCTACTTCCACACTCCGTGGTCTCCTAATGAAACGTGCCTTGATGCCAACAGCATGATAAGTATTATCAA